CACACCATAATTTTGGAATGGAAATACCCGGAATCTGTATCTCACGCAATAATGACATAATCTATAGAACCTCAGCACAAACATCTGCAAGAGCTTTGTATTCAGCCTCAGTGGATGACCTGGCAACAGTTCTCTGTTTCTTGCAAACCCACGATATAAGATTACTCCCCAAGAAAACAGCAAAACCACTCGTGGATTTTCGATCGTCAGGACAACCAGCCCAATCAGAATCAGAGAAAGCATGAATGTCTCTAGATGAGCACCGTCGTATGCGTAAACCATGATCAACTGTTCCCTTAACATACCTGAGTACCCGTTTGAGCTGCTCCCAGTGTGATATGGTGGGGGCATGCATATGCTGGCATAACTGATTAACTGCAAAGGATAGGTCAGGTCGTGTGACAGTGAGATATTGCAGTGCTCCAGCTAGACTCCTGTACTGTGTGGGATCATCATATAGATCTGAATTGAAGGGGACAGTTTTCGAGACAGAGATAGGTGTAGAAAGGGGTTTGCATTCAGACATTCCAGCCCGTTTTAAAATATCATTCATATACCGTTGTTGAGATAAAATAATCCCATTGTCACTCTTAACTGTTTCAATACCCAGAAAAAAATTTGGTTCACCAAGATCTCTGATTTTGAATGTAGCAGACAGTTTGGACAAGAGCTGAGACATAATACCTTGATCACTTCCCATTACAAGAATGTCATCCACGTACACCAATAGATAAACCAAAGCAGAGTCTTTAGAGTAATAGAACAGAGAGACATCTGTCTTGGATGCTTGAAAGCCAACCGATAGTAAGAACGTATGTAGTCGATTAAACCAAGCTCTGGGAGCTTGTTTTAACCCATACAGAGATCTTTTTAACAAACAAACATGATTCGGGAAGTTAGCATCAATATAACCAGGGGGTTGCTTCATATAAACTGTTTCAGCCAGATTACCATTCAGAAAAGCATTATGAACATCTAGCTGTTTGATAGACCACCCAGATGATAAAGCTAGAGATAGAAGGAGTCTTACAGTCGTAGGCTTTACCACTGGACTAAAAGTGTCGAAGAAGTCCTGACCTGGAACCTGATTAAAACCTTTCGCAACCAGCCTGGCTTTATGCCTTTCAATAGCACCATCAGCCTTTCTCTTCGTACGAAACACCCATTTACAACCAATAATATTCATACCTGCAGTGGGTGGAACTAGAGACCATGTGTGGTTATGCAGGAGAGCATTGAATTCTTGGTCCATGGCTTCACGCCACTCAGGATATTTGACAGCTTGAGAGTAACATGTGGGTTCCGTGGGATGCACTTGAGCTGCTAGAGCAAAAAGAGGAGCATCTGCGTTGCTGCGAGTGGCCATAGAGTGAGTACGGACATTGGGCCTGATGGACCGCCCACGTGGACGGCCTCGCCGGCGAGCAACAGGCTCCACAGGATCACCCGACGAGGCAGCCTGTCCAGGATCCACGGCTGGTTCGAATAAAGCAGGTAGCGGCGGTTCTGGCAGCTCATCATTGGACACGGCAGGAATAGGTGTGCTGTGACTGAGAACAGATTCCACCCAAGGTCCAGAAAACGAAGTAGATAGATCCTGCAAAGAAGTTTTAGTAGCAAAGGGGAAAACTTCTTCATCAAATCTGACATGCCTGCATGTGTAAATCTTATTAGTATGTAAGTCCATGCATCTGTACCCCCTAAAGGACTCAGGATAACCTAGGAAGACACATGGAGAAGACCTGTATGACATCTTATGACGATTATATGGTCGAAGATGAGGGTAGCATAAACACCCAAAGACACGAAGAAAAAGATAGGAAGGAGGGGATTTATGTAACAGGAGATGAGGACTGGAGTTATTTAATACAAAAGATGGCATTCTGTTAATTAAATAGACAGCAGTCTCAAAGGCAAAATCCCAAAATTTCAAAGGAACAGAGGCATGAGCTAGAAGAGCCAGACCAGTTTCAACAATGTGACGATGTTTTCGTTCAACACGACCATTCTGTTCATGTGTATAGGCACAGGATTGTCTATGTTGAATTCCTAATTGAACAAACAAAGAATGCAACTTTTTGTACTCAGCACCTAAATCAGACTGAATGGCCTTTATTTTGCAATTAAAGGACCGTTCAACAAGAGTACGAAATTTATCAAAGATGACATAAAGATCAGACTTTAATTTCATAGGAAAGAACCATGTATAACGGGAATAGTCATCCACAAAGATCACAAAATAACGGAAGCCAAAAGTAGATAAAGTGGGCGCAGGACCCCAAATGTCTGTGTAAATAAGATCTAGGACTTGAGAACTAGAGGAAGCAACACGGGGGAGGGGAAAACGGGCAGATTTGCCTAATTGACACGCATTGCATAAAGAATTATGACAACGAATATTATCACGAGACCCACTAACCAAACAAGAACGAAGTATATGGCTAAGAACACGGTTATGAGGATGACCTAGACGATTGTGCCAAGTGGAAGCCGAGGCACGAGCGGAAATAAACGCTGACGGAGACGAACTAGGTAATGAAAGTGTGTATAGTCCCCCCGAACTATTGCCCCGAAGAAGTATTTCCTTGGTATTGATATCTTTTACAACAAAAAAGGAGGGGTGAAACTCAAAAAAGACTTTATTATCGGATGCAAACTTCTGAACAGATAATAAAGAATTAGACAAACGCGAAACATGAAGTATATCAAACAATGTAAATGATCTAGAAGGGGTATTAAAAGAGGCATGGCCAACATGACTAATAGATAAACCCATACCGTCACCGACACGTAAAGTGTCATTACCAGTGTACTTCTCCGATGTAGAAAGGGCAGCGATGTTCGGAGTTGCATGATTTGTGGCTCCAGTGTCCGAAACCCAAGTATGAGAATTTGACGAGGTTTTAGCAACTAAACCATTCTGAAACACCAAATTAGCCTGAGAACCCGGAGCCCCTGAATATCGCCGAAAACAGTTGACTCCCGTGTGACCGAAATTTTTGCAAATTTGACACGGATCATTATAGCGCCAAAAACAATTGGCTCCCGTGTGACCAAAACGTTTACAAATTTGACACAGATCATCATAGCGCCAAAAACAATTGGCTCCCGTGTGACCAAAACGTTTACAAATTTGACACGGATCATCATAGCGCCAAAAACAATTGACTCCTGTGTGGCCGAAACCTTTACAGATTTGACACGGATCATCGAAGCCATGTTGCTGACCTCCACGGTAATTAAGGTTGCCATCGCAGCGCTGCATCTTCTTAATTTTATGAATCACAAAACCCTAGCTAACTGATACCAGATGAGAACTGATTGTATTATATTTTCTGAACTTGATTACAATGAGATCAGATGATGTGAATATATAGAATAGAGAGTCACAGTGTGACAATGATAAGAAGTAGAGAGTCACAGTGTGACAAGGATAAGAAGTTCTAAACAGACTCATATACATAGAGTCCTAATAATCGCAGTAATTTTCTTTGACCCAACTCGCTCCAGATGCTCCAAGTACACGTTGAGCTCTTAAGGGCTCGGGATAGTGGAACTTGTCGTTGAAGAACTCGAACCTTATCGGGCCATCGCCGTACGGAGTGGGTTCACCAGAAATTTTGGGATTGGCTTTTCTCATTTATTTTCCTACCGTTTCCGGCGGTGACGAGGAGGCACTTGCTAGCCAGCCGTTTTCCCAACCTAAGCAATGGGTTTACGTGGCCTTGGCCGGAAATGATACCAGTAAGATATGAAAGCGAGGTTGATCGGCGATGCCCTGAGCACCCATTGTTGTTGTTGAATGGGTTTACTTGTGCTGGACTTGGCGAGCAGATCCGCATTTGAGAGATGCAATACCAGAAATGCATCTCCCAAATGCGGATTACGCCCATGTATCAACATACGAAAAGCGCATTTGGAAAATGGGTTTGGTGTATTTTATACATCAGACGCATTTCCCAAATGCGCTTGATGTTGACAGTTTAAAAAAAAAAAAACAAATATTACGATTGAGTTTGAGAAATGCGTTTTTATGCCCAACAGCATTTCCCAAATTCAGATTTTCCTTGACCATCCATAATTGAGTAAATACCCAAAATGGTCCCTTGACTATAGCTAAATTCACAAATTGGTCCTCGACTTTTAATTTTAACCAATTAAGTCCTTAACTTTGCAATTTTGACACGATTTGGTCCTCCATCTATTTGACCATTTGTTGACCGTGATCTTTGAGGATATATATGTAATTCTCCGCTTGCTGCTTAGGGATCACGAGCCAATTTAGCTTAGAGAACACTCTTGGAGGTGACATCACCGTTTCGAGGAGGGGGAAGTGCTTCTCCGCTTGCTGCTTGGGGATCCAACATAACCACAATCGACCCGCTCGTTCTCCCGGTATTGGAGCAGCTCCTCTTCCTCTTCACCCTAATTGGCCAGAAAATCTTTAATCCCATATGGAAACCCTACATTCCCGACTTCAAACATTCCTTCAAACAGTTCTGCATTAATGCTGGCGGTCGCGCCGTCATCGACGATCTCCAGAGAACCTGCAGCTCTCGTCGGAACACGTGGAGGCCTCCAGGATGACGTTGCACCGGTTCGGAAACACGTCGTCTTCTTCGCTCTGTTACAAACTCAACTACATTGAATCCAAAGGGAGGATGAAGAAAGGCGACCGAATTTTGATAGATTGCTTTCGGCAGTAGATTCAAATGTAACAGTGCGGTCTGAAAATGCAATCGGAACTTTAAAAACCGACGATGGACCATGAAATTACATATATATCCTCAAAAATCGCAGTCAACAAACGGTCAAATAGACATAAGACCAAATTGTGTTAAAATTGTAAAGTTAAGGACTTCATTGGTTAAAATTAAAAATCAAAGACTAATTTGTAAATTTTGCTATAGTTGAGGGACAATTTTGAATATTTACTCTCCATAATTTTTCAAACTCTATCCTATAACAGTCAATTTCCCCAATTTTCCTTCTCAACCTTTCCGCGCACCTTCCCAACAATAAGGCACGTCTTTACTTGGTTTCTGTCCAATATTCATTCTATTATCTAATCTCTATCTTGGTTCTTACTTCTTACTTCTTAGCACTCATGGCTCGTCTTCTCTCCCAATCCCTAACTCGGAAACGGGTTCCATCCACGCTCTCCCAGCGTCTACTCACCCACTTCCGACGCTCCAAATCCAACAGCTCCGGCGGAGACGATGCCTCGCATCCACACATCATCGAGATTGACTTGGACTCCTCGACCCATTCCTCTCCCTTGGACCCGGATTCTACCAGCGGCGGGATCCATAGGCTCGAGGATGTCATACACACTATCATCGTGCGACGATCTGCACCCGATTGGCTCCCTTTCCTCCCGGGGTACTCCTATTGGGTCCCTCCTCGCCATCTCACTGTCCACCATCCCCACAACATCGTTGAAGTAATCGGCAAGATTTCTGCAGCCAAAACTAGCCCTTCTTTGCTTTCGGATGATGAATTAATGGCTGTCACATCCGCTCGCGGTTGGCCTTCATCCAATTATTTCTTCCCAGGTATAAATTGGACTGATTTTAGCTTATGCATATTCGTCATTTCTGCATTTTATTTTATTACATTCTTGTTACTCGTTTTCTGCGGATTGGCGAATAACAAAGTAATATATAGATGGATACATGACTTGGCAAAATATAAACTGAATGAGTATTATTTTATTAGGATAAAAAATTGGGAACCGGTAATATTCTCTTCATTCCTTTGCATTGAGGAAAACGGGTTGGTTTTATCTTACTTTTGGATTTTAAAATTTTAATGTTGGTCAGTTGAATTGCATATTGGGAAAAGTGGGATAATTTACAACTCTGGTGTTCCCCTTCTTTAATTTCAATTTAATATATATTAAGAAGTTAGTAAAAGCATCTGTTACTTAAATTTGGAAGTCATAAAAAAACTATTATCTTTTAATGTTGTGATTTTGACCAATGACATATCTTATACTTCTAATCATAAGAAACTATGGTCTTACTGTATTTTTTTCCCTGCCGTGTTTGTCAAAACCAAGCTTTAGAGACTTGTGTAATCCGTTGCTCTAGGGTCACAATTTCCACATTATTCACTTGCATAGTTGCATTAGAAGTGATTGCTTTTGGAATGTAAATAGGTAATTAATGTGTTTGGAACTATATGTATGCATTGCAATGTTAGAAGTAGAGTGGGAGACTAATTTCCATCACACTAGATTATGATTTGCAACCATGCAATTCATAGACCATAGTATTTTATCTATAATTACTTTGGCTACATTTTCAGGTATACTTGAATAGCAAGTGTTTCCCCAATTATTTTCATTATTCATCAAAAAGATCTAATATATCATTTACACTTTTCAAACACTCAAGTGAGAGACAGTTTCCCTTGTAGGCTAATGTCTAAACTCTTATTGTTGGGCAATAAATCTATCAATCCAAGGGATAAGTTAATTTTATTGGCAAATTCTCCTATAAGGATTTGTGAGACAGGTCTCTCTCTCTTTTTTTTTTTTTTTTAATAACTATTAAAATTTCGCATATAAGTATTGCAATTTTCATCATAAGTAATTCTTCAACTCCTACCATTCCTAGCAAGCTGAAATCTCTTTGGAACACATATCCTTGAATAGTCCATCTAAAGTTGATATAAGCCTCCTCACTTTCATCTGTTGACTATTAGCCACAGTCAGTCACCTCCTCTTGATTTTGTGATTCATAGATTCTTGAACTATTTTTCTTGCTATTTTTGCTATTGAGGCAAGTATGGACACTATTAGAAGTAGTAGTTCTAATATTTAGTCATATTTAAGTTAAAAAATGTAGATATACCCTTTTTTTTTCTTTTTTTTTAATTTTTTGCTTTGCATTTCGTGTCTTTCATTTTTTGAAATTGTTGTTTTGTGTGGTTTTTGTGCTACATAGGTGGATACCCACCACATAAAATTGTAAAATAACCAAATAAGTTTTAGTGGTAAAAAAGAAAAAAGAAAAAAAAAGCCACGTGAATATAGGAATTCCAATCTTAAATAGAGGGACTAAGGGAATCATAATAGGAGCCCTTGGGTTCTTTTAATATAAGTTGGGGTTTAGATTCTATAGAACAAAGATTTATGTTAGCCTCTTTTGTAAATTTTGTATGTTAAAATAAATTAAAACTAAAAATTATTTATACATGGTAAAATTTTGTAATGTTAAATACTCCGTAGCAATAACTGGTGTTGCATTTTTGTTATTGTTCTATTTACAAAAAATGTCACAAGTCTTTTTCTATTTATATTTTATAGTAATTGCCATTCTTACTATAGCCTTCTGTATAATTTTAACATTTACTATTGATCCATCACTTGATTTCACCTAAAAAAACCCAACCTACAGGCTACACCAGTCTGAATGGGGGTGAATATCAACACAACAGATCAAAAATCTCATTCTTATATGTTTATAAACATGCATGCATACATATATGTTTATTGTTGTTGATCCTATCATTTGGGAATGTAGGGAGTGCCCCCACATATCCTGTCCCATTACAAGTGATGGAACTGGAGGTGAAGATTCAGGAAAGCTCTGATGATGAACCTAAATCTGAGGATGAGGAAGGATAAATAACACACACACATATATATATGAAATGGTTGCTAGGGTAAGTTAATTGTCTACTATACAATTACCATTTGTAAACATTGTGATATGTTCAAATGTTTAAAGTGGTCTACTAATTAAATTTGTGCATACTCATAGAACCAAGCAAACAAGAGAAATATATAAATTATAAACTGCTAGAAAAGTTGGAAAAGTTGGGTTTGCTGATGGTTTGAATTACAGGCTTGCTCACCTGTGTAAATAATATATCTGTGGTACGGAAACTATGGCAGTGAGCAAGGAAAATATGAAACTGCCAGGAGACTGCATGTGTATTGTCAGATCCAATGTGGCACTGGATGAGCCAACGGCATCTTTATTCCTGCTCAACCTAGTGGCTTGATGCCTATAATACTATGAAGAAGAAACCTGTACAAGAGCATGAAGTGTTGTTTGAATAAATCTTGTGTATTATTTCTGGAAATCATAAGCTTTTTAGTTTACAATTGTTGTTATACTATGGACCTGGACGAGAGTCCACCTGAGCGTTCAGATTATGTATTTGTAGGTAACATATTATGTGTCTTTACACTTAAACACATAATTTGTTAAGTGAATGCACATAATATGTTAATTGTATACATAATTTGAATATTATTTTGAACCAGGCTTCACAATGTAAAATGGATCATAGTCCATGGTATAATTTGCCTATACCATGGACCATGGTTTACCTTGTAAGGTGGATCAATTGTATGAGGTTCATTTTAGTAATTAGAAGGTTCATTTTCAATACATTGAATGCTTATTTTTTGAAGATTTATTTTTTGGTATACACTTAAAAATGAACTTGCAATGAATTAAAAAATGAATTTTTTGTATATTGAAATTAAACTTTATTAATGGTCTACGTTGCAATGCATATCATGGTCCTTAGTAAGTTGTCATATTATCTTGGCAAATTTTAATGTTGATCATGAATAAATTTATATTTTTAATATACTAAATGTATATTATTTATGTACTAAAAATTTATAATTGTGTAGTGCATCAAACAATTTACTTTAAAAAAATGAGTATTTAATAGAGTAAATTTTAGTTTTGGTCTTGTGACTATAGAGGTTCTGTTAATTCCAGTCCACAACTTTTAAAAGTGTTAATTTAGTACTTTGACTATGTAATTTTTATCAATTTTGGTCACTCCGGATTATTTCAAAAGTGTTATGGAATATCGGATTATTTGAGATGTGTATAGCCGCTTGATTATCACACCACAAATGTATGGGCTTCACCACCCCCTTCAGAATATTGTGCACTAAAGTTATCTCACACACCACAAGAAACAAATTATTGTGGCTCGGTTTAGTGTTGAATCTTACTATAGGGCGTGCACACACACACACACAAATGCAGACAGTAATGAAGGGTACCAACCTTCATTCACTTTTATAAAATAATAAAAAATGATTTTTTTTTTTTTTGGTGTAAACCACATTGTGGTCCGAGTCTTTCTCTGTCCGGTTAACGGTCCAGGTCCACCCGGTTCGCTCCGAGAGGCACAGAAACTGGCCCAAAGGAAATCCTCACTTGTGGGAATCGAACCCAGAGCTCATTTGCTACTTGAGCTACCCTGTTGGGTTATAAAAATGATTATTTTTAATATAATCAAAATGAATATTTTCAACTTGTAATAAAAGTAGTACTAAATATGAGTATTGCTGTAAATAGTTATCCAAAATAAAAATAATGTCCTAATAATTTTCATATTAAAGTAAATCAAGTCCTTTTAATGTGATATTGATGAGTTAGTAAACTTAATTTATTTTTTGTTAAAAATGACATGATTATAATAAGTTTACTATGTTGTCAAATAGTAATTAAATGGTTATTTAATTAAGTTATACCATATGAATTCATAAGCTTTCCTTGTGTATATAATTGAATCTCAATTGTTGTTTTATGTGAACTATTTAATTTTAGATAATTATAATTTGTGCTACAGCTAACAAATAATGTTTTATTTAACTAAATACAAGATAATGTATTCTTAGAATAATTATAGTATGGCATTTATATTCTTTTAGGATGAAAGATTCAAGAAATAATAGATTATAATTTATATAAATATATATAGTTGGGCAACTACCATGTGGTGTGATGGTCAAAGGTTCAAACCCCGGTTGTGGGGGCTTAGATTCTTTAGGCGGAAAATATAGAACAGATACTACATTGTAAAAAATCATAAGTATTTAAAAAAAATAATAATAAATATAGTTGAAAGAAACAAATCAAATTAAGTAAATATTGTTATATTTTAATTTTAATTATTACCAAAAAAAATAAAAAAGTTAATAAAAGAATAGAAAAATAATTTTAAAAAATTAAGTAAATATTGTTATTATTATTATTGTTGTTGTTGTTATTAACATTATTATTATTATTATTATTATTATTATTATTATTATTAAAATGTTAAAAAATATTACAATGAGTAAATATTTTTTTAAGATTGAAATTTAACATATTCATAATATATGTTCAACAATTATATTATATTTCACAACAAAAAAAACAATTATATTATATTATTATATTTATATATAGTAGACATAACCATGCACGTGATAGCCTTCTTAGTAGTACGACGTTCGGATTTTATTTTTTTATTTTTATTTTTAATCCATCTGGCGGCTTCTCGCTCAGGCTGTTAGTTTGAGCGGGGACAACGTGTCAAAAATTTCCAAGTTTTGTTTGCCCCTGCCTCTTCTACCGTTAGTGAAGAGCACGCCTCGCCACTCTCTGCGTTCCCCTTCACTCTCTCGCTGTCCAATATCTCATATACGAACATTACTACTCCGACTTTCCGTTTTCATTGGCGGTTTCAAATTTCCGTTCTGCTCAATTCTGCAACCTATCGATGGTTGATCCCATCTCATTTCCGCCTCAATTTTATGTAAGCTCTTGCTTCAATTCTGCAATCTATCTCTTCGTTTTTTTTTTTTCTTTTATTATTTTAAAATCTTGAATTGCATTTCTTTTTGTTCCAGTATGTGAAATCGAGATAGATAACATATATCAGTTGTCTGCATGTGTGTGTGTGTGTATATATATATATTTGGCTTCATCCCTGATAGAATTTGAATCTGGGCTCATCTGTAATGGGAAACGCAAAGAAGATTGTAATATATAATTTATCTCCTAAATTCCCGATTGTGCTTTGGAATTGAAGCAAAACAGCGCTCTTTCTCAAAACTCGTATGGTTGTTGGGAGCTGTACTGGATTATTAGTAATCAATTTTTTTTTTTTTTTTTTGGATTGTTGTTGCTTTATTTCCCACCTGTCTTTAATCTTTTAGTTTTTCTTTTTCTATTTATGATATCTTTTCAGCCCTTCTCGTTGATGAAGTAGCAGAAGCAATTGAGGACGCTACAAATTACCATGGGTGTTTCAGTGACAAATTTGGATGCAACTTTCCAAGGGGCAGGACAGAAGGCGTATCCTTTTTAGATCATTTAGCAATGCAGAACATTGGCTTAAGAGGACTAGAGGAGTATTGAGAATTGAATGGAAAGAAGGGAACCACAAATTAACCAATGCTAACAAACATCTAAACTAGTTTATTCCTCTAAACCTGTATGAATTTTTGAGCAGAAGTCAATAATAATAATATATATATATATATATATATATATATATATATATATATATATATATATATATAAGGATAGATAAGTTAGAATGCAAAACGATATAAACTAAAACTATCATCATTGAGAATTCATTTTAACTCAAATTATCATGGTTCTATATATTTGTTTCCTAATGCATTTGCATTTTCTTAGATTTAATTTATCACCTAGGAATGACCAAGGTTGTTATCCTTGAACATTTATAGTGGGATTGAGATCTGGCATATTGAAAATTTTCATCCTGTGCCTATTCCTGAGTCGTCTTATGGAAAATTTTATACAGCAGACTCTTACATTATTTTAAAGGTATGGAACTGATTGCTGATTATATATATATTTTCTTCATATGAGAAGATTTCTTTTCACTGCCTTTTCAAATTATTTTCTCTCGCAGCCCTTTTATCTTTTGATATATGTTCTAGAACTTGGGAGAAAAATGAAGAAGTCACTTGTATTGAGATAAGTTACCGTGATCCATATGACCATATATTATATATATGCACCAAAGGATAAACGTAAGATAATCAGAGACATCTATAGGGATTCTCTAAAGTATTTTTTGTGGCTAATATTTTACATATGCTTAACACTCCCCTCAAATTGGAGCATGTAAGTCATAGGCTCTGAGTCTATTACAATTGTATTTAACTCTAGGCCTTTGAAGAGATCTGCCAATTGATCATTTGAGACAATAAAGGATGTGAAAGTGTCTCCCAAACAATTCCCTCTCAGAGATAATAGCAATCAACCTCTATATGTGTATACCTTCTGTTATTGCTTCATATTTTAGTCCTCAGGTTTCTACTAGCTGTTTTTATGTGCTTTACATATGTGATTAGCATCAATATGCTTTGAAAGTTCTTCATTTTTTTAATTATTTATAATCAACTGGTCTTTAACTCTGAACCGTAATATATGATTATATGAAAGCTGAGGCTGCATTCTTATTAGTTATTACTGATTGGCAAAATGATATAACCAAGCAAATTGCATTAGCATCATCTCTTTTTTTTTTTTTGCTCTGGAAGAGTTTATTTTTCTCAACTCTGTTGTTCTACATTAACTGTTTCTTAACTGTACCTCTAAAGATCATATTGCAATTTAATTCACAGTATGATGCTCTCAATTGGATGAAAATCCTTAGTATAAAGCTTGGTTATCAAAAACACTTAATCCTTTATCTGTCCAAGTAAATTTTGGCTTTCCTTTTCCCCTCCAATCTCAGCGTTATCACTCTTTCTAGCAAGTGCATCCACAGTACATGTTCAACCATGTCAAAGCCATCTGATTTTCTCTCAACTTTTCCTTAACTGATGCTACTTATGTCTTGCTTCAAATAACGTCATTTTTTCTATAAAGGATTCTGTCTTCCCACATGTCAATCTTATCATTATCATTTCAGTTACTCATCTCACATTCTCAGTCAGAATTTATACATGAAAAGTCTACATATTCAAGTAAATAAATCCTCATCAAACCTCCTTAATTATCTCCTAATTCTAATTAATTAAAGCAAATCAATTCTAATCAATAAGCAACTCATTGCACCTAAATATTCCTATTCTTGATCCTTCCTCTCAAGCTTGAGAATAAATTATTCCCAAATTCCCCAACTTGGAAACTAAAGTCTGAAATATAGGATTCTTGACCCTTCAGCAAGAATGTCTAGAAGAATTAGACAGAACAAAGAGATTACAAATTAGACCACTTTTTGAGGTTTTGTCTAAGTGCTTGGTCCATTCATGTTATACTGCATTGTGAGAAGTACTGATTGCTGACTTGTTATTGCAATAGTCTCATAGGCCAGTTGACTTTCAAGTCTTCTAGCATGATTTTCAGCCATAGTAACTTACATATCGCGTGAACCCCTGCTCTGAACTCTGATTTAGCATTCCACCTTGCCACTACATTATATTTCTAACTTCTCCAGATGATGAGATTCCCTACAAAAACATCCAATTTCCTGTAGTAAATCTCTTATGCTGTACTGAGCTAGCATAGTCAGCATTTCTGTAGGCCTCTTATTAAAACCTCTCATTTTTCTTGAGCATAATTCCCTTTATTTAAACCCCTTTAGATAATGAAGTATGTGTTACATTGCATGTAGGTGAACCTCCCTAGAATTGTGCATGAACTAGCTTATGACACTTACTGCATAAGCAAAGCCAAGCTGTTTGATAATTGTGATAGATAGGTAAATAAGTCTCTCAACAAATCTTTGATACATTTACTTGTTTACAGTTGAATCCTCTTTTTCTTCCCCAAGCTTGTAATTTGGATTTATGGGCATGCTAGATGGTTTGCAAGCTATATCCCAGTGTCCTTCAAAAGATCAGTAGTATACTTCTGTTAAGAAATTTGAGACGTGAAAAATCCTTGTTTTGACCATTCAATGCCTAGGAAATATTTCAAAGGTTGACCCAATCTCGGTCTTCCTTCTTGGTCATTTCCTGTCACTACTTTGTCAGCAACTTACACAATTGAGAGTCATAACTTCTGTTGAACTAGGCTATTATTCTGCTGGTAGCCTGTGCTTACCATTGTTCTAGTGGATCTCTTGAAACAAGCCATTAGTGACTGTTTTAAACCTTATGGTGTTTTTCTTAGTCTGCAAATGGGAGCTATATTTATGTGTAGCTTGGTGGGATCTTCTTGCATACTTCTTCTAAGTCATTGTGAAAAAAAAAATGCATTTTCACATCACCATATTAAACTGGCTAATTATAGCTGACATCCAGAGACAAGAATTCTTATTGTGTTCATCTTTGCAACTGGCACAAAAGTCCTGATAATCTATTCCACAAGCCAGTGAGAATCCCTTGGGCACCAACCTTGCTTTGCATGTCTAAAGTGAACCACTGGCTTTGTGTTTTATGGCAAATACCGATTATACATTTCACTGCAATTAGTATGTAAAATGAGTTGAACGGTTAATAGTCACAATATTCTAAGCTACTGGCTAAATGCACCTCAAACTCTGCAAATTTCCCGGAAAGTATGCTTCTTATTTCTTAATATCTACATTTTCTTATGTTTGCTGTGGCCAATTAAGATCAGTAAGATCCCTAATTCTCCTTTTATGCAGACCACTGCCTTGAAAAGTGGCGCCTTACGACATGATATTCATTATTGGCTTGGAAAAGATACTAGTCAGGTAAGTTTACCTTCCATGTGATTTAACCACTATAGCTTTGTTTTATAACAATGTCTTGTGATAAAACACTATTTACTGCTCTGTATAGGATGAAGCTGGTACTGCAGCCGTTAAGACTATTGAACTAGATGCAGTCCTTGGAGGACGTGCTGTTCAATATCATGAAGTGCAAAGCAATGAAACTGAGAAGTTTCTTTCTTATTTCAAGCCATGTATAATCCCTCAAGAAGGTGGAGTTGCATCAGGTTTCAAGCATGCTGAAGCAAAAGAGTACAAGATCCGTTTGTTTGTATGCAAAGGGAAGCATGTTGTACATGTAAAAGAGGCAAGCTCATGTCTTTCAGATTATAATATTCGAAGTATGTCTTTTGTACTTGAAGTTAGCTGTTTTTTTATGTGATTGGCCAGGTTCTTTTTGCTCGGTCCTCTCTCAATCATGATGACATCTTTATCCTTGATACCAAATCTAAAATCTTCCAATTCAGTGGTGTCAATTCATCTATTCAAGAGAGGGCCAAAGCACTTGAAGTTGTTCAGTACATAAGAGATACTTACCATGATGGAAAATGTGAGGTGGCTGCAATTGGTAAGCATATAATATGCCTGGTAGATTGGATAATGATACATTAGTCAATAGTGACTATTTGATTTAAATATGTCTATGCATTGATGTAGAGGATGGCAAACTCATGGCTGATGCTGATACTGGGGAATTCTGGGGTCTGTTTGGTGGATTTGCTCCACTTCCAAGGAAAACAACTAAGAGGGACACTAAAAGTGCTGTTGCTATCTTCAGCAGATTGTATCGGTAATTTATTTTATTTATTTGACATTCCTTCGTTTGATTTTTATTAGAGAGCATCTAAATTACCAATGTCCAATTGTCAAACATTTTCCAGTGCTTCATTTCTCAGACATCAAAACTTATCTAGATTAATGGATCTAGATGTGAAAAATATAAACACCAGTTACAGATATTTGTACACACATGAACATACATATTAATTTCCCCGAGGAGAGCAGAAGTTTAAGTATGCCTGGATTCATTCTCATCTTCGTTCACCACAGTATACAACAGATCATATATATAAATACAAACTACAGAATAAAGTGTCTTATGGATACTGCCAAATATTGCTTCAGTCTTGTTAAAATGACAGTCAAGAGGGCATAGCCACTCTGACAAAGTGTAGGAAAAGGGAGTGGGAAGACAAATCCCTTTTAGAGTTTATTCCACTTTCAGTCCTCGACTATATTGGTATTTCCACTTTTGGTTTTTGACTTTGATTTGTTCCACTTTTAGTCCAAATTGCCTTCACTTTGTGAAAGTTTAACCAAACTTTGCCTTGCTATATTTAAGGAAACTTTGGACATTTTTGGACTAAAAGTGAAACATTTTTTTATTTTTTATTTTAAAGTTGAGGACTAAAACTAAAAGTGGAAAAAAATCAAAGTCAAGAACAAAAATTGGAAATGCCACTATGAACAAAGAAAATTGGGCCTTCTGGGAATTGAAGTCTCGACACTACAACTTAAAGATATAAGGCCGTTTCAACTTGTGCCAAGGAGCCTTGAAAGATATGAGACCGTTTTTACTCGTGCCAAGGAGCTTTTAGGGATATAAGGCCGTTTTTGCTCGTGCCAAGGAACCTTGAAAGATATGAGGCCGTTTCAACTCATGCCAAGGAGTATTGTTTAGCTTCCTCGATTTCAAATTTCATACAGGGTTTGCCCCCATATCGGTTGAATGGTATGTTCCTATGAAGAGATGAGAGGCAGAGTTGTCCCACTGGGCGTGCCAATTTGTGAACAAAGAAAATTGAATATATATATTGAAATTCAAAATTTTGATTACAACGAGTATCAATGCGGTGTGGGTACAAGATCTCTGAATGGTCCTTTGATTCTTCAATTGGATGCCTTGAACACTCCATTGAAGGGCCTCCGGAATTCAAGTGGCTTGATCTTCAAAGAAGGGCTTGTATATATAGCTTGTTTTTCGTTGAAGGGCCTCCGAGTTCAAATGGCTTGATCTTTAATGGAGGTTTGGATCAACAGGCATGATCATCATGGAGGAAGGGCTTTTACTTTTAGGATCACATTTTTATTGTGATCTCTGAATAATATTTTCAGGATATTTACATGATTATTTCCTAGGATGAATACATAGAAATAAGAGGTCCTGTTTATAGCTGTAGGATATAAGAGTTTTGATAAGTTCAAACTCTTTTGATATTATATATTTAAACAAATTAGATAATATCAATATTATCCAAAATATATTCAAATATACTAATATTAAAAAAAATCAATATCAATATTTATCAAAATTTCAGCGTAACATCCACTATTGTTGAAGACCAAAAGTGGAATAAATTCAATCTTTTTATTAGTTCAAAATGAAAATTTTTAATCTTCTCTGGGAATTTTTACTATATCAACTCTGACAATTGTAAGTTTACCATTTCAGAGTTGAGAAAGGGCAGCCAGAACCTGTTGATGCTGATTCTTTGACGAAGGACATGCTAGATACAAATAGATGCTACATTCTTGATTGTGGAATTGAAGCTTTTGTGTGGATGGGAAGGAATACTTCTCTTGATGAAAGGAAAACTGCAAGTGTTGCTGCAGATGTACTGATCTATGTGTTTTATATTTTAGATTATTCAGTCAATTTACAATTTTGCCATTTTTCATTGACATCATATATTTCACCTTCTAGGAACTGTTACATGGCCTTGATAGAACCAAATGTCATGTAGTTCGCTTGATTGAAGGATTTGAGACAGTGATGTTTCACAAAAAGTTTGCCTCTTGGCCCCAGTCAACTGATGTGGCTGCACCAGAGGATGGTAAAGGAAGAGTTGCTGGTCAGTAACTTCACTTTTTTGTGTTTTTCCATATCTCATCAATTCCAATCTCATTATATTTTGGAATCCTTCAGTTGTTTCACATTTTATGGTTTTCTGTTCTTTTTGAAACTTGTTAAATGTTGAAATACAAGAACAGTGTGTATACTCTCATATATTTCTGTACAAGAGGAACCCTATTTATACAAAGGTTGGAAGAGTACCAGCCAAAGGATTTGAAATTCAAATGAGAGAATAAGCACCTAACTCTAACTAACCCTTATTCATCTAACAAAACTTATAGCACATACTTACCAAATGCATGATTTTTCTGCATCTATATCGTTTTACCAGCTCTTATACTTTTCTTCTTTCATGATGCTGCTCTAGCGCTTTTAAAACGCCAAGGGATTAACGTGAAGGGTCTTATGAAAGATTCTCCTCCCAAAGAAGAACCTCAACCTTGTATAGATTGCACGGGGGATTTGCAGGTGCTCTATATCTATTGATTTTTGCATTATCTTAAAAGCAATAAACTTGTTCAACAAAGATCTATGACTGGAAGTTACTTTTAGAAATGATTGTGGTCAAAGAAATTACACATAAATAAAGTGATCATTGCTGTAGAAGTATATGAAGGATTTAGTCTGAAGACGATGAGCCCTGCAACTTTAAAATGTTATATTTGTTGCTAATGTAGTGGTGTCCATTCTGATGTATCTCATATATTGCCTCTGCTATGCAGGTTTGGCGTGTAAATGGTCAACAGAAGACTCTTCTTCCAGAATCTGATCAGTCAAAGTTCTATACTGGGGACTGTTTCATATTTCAGTATTCTTATCCGGGGGAAGATAAAGAGGAGTATCTTATTGGAACGTGGTTTGGGAAGCTAAGTGTTGAGGTAATGGCTTTAGTATTTCCTTTCTCCATTCTTCCAAATGTTTTATATTCAATATCTATCAAAATTTAAGTATTCACTAAACAACAAAGTACAACACAAACTGCAAGATATATAAAACAAACTGCAAAATGTACAGCACCCCAAGCAAAAAATTAACTCTTCATTATGATTGCTCTCAATTCTCTAGTTTTCTCATGTGTTCTCTCTTTTCACTTAATAATCTAAGGGATTTATCTCCTAAGTACAAGATCCAAGTTACTCCTTTATTTTTCCCCACGGAGACTTTCTCGCTTCTTGATCAGTTTACTCCACTGGTTCTCTCTCTCTCTCTCTCCCCTTCCATGGGTGTTTCTTAAGAGTTAAGACCACTGTGCCTTCTCCTCTTTTGAACATATCAATGCCTAAGCCATTACCCTGTTATACACACAACATCGATGAAACTAGCTGTTTGAGAAGGGCAGTAGAGCTTGTTTACACAGCAACATCGATGAAAATATGTTCAAATCCAACTATTTTCAATTTATAAAATATGAAATTATTTGAAATCCAAATATAAAAATACAAATTCCAATGGTAAGTTACATTAATATCGAGCAGTGGTGGTAGTGTGGGTAAGTTGTGGTGTGGGCAGGTAGATGGGGGTTAGGGTAGACAGTAAATGATGATGATAATGAATGTGGGAAATTAGAGATAAGAAGTGAATTCTGAATTACCTTGTATTATATGGTAGATCAAAAAAAATCCTAAGTCCGGACAGAATACCTTGTATTTATGGATTACAAATTGATTACAGCTCATATACACCTTGACACTCCCCCTCAAGCTGAGGAATAGATGTCTCCCATTCCCAGCTTGGATACAGGATCATTGGAACTCAAACTGTTCTGCCCCTTTCTTAGAAAATCAGCTCATTGACGTTCTGATCAAATGTAGGACATGCACACTAACACTTTCTCCAATTTTTCTTTGATGAAATGTCTATCAATTTCAATATGCTTTGCCCTTTCATGTGTATAGGATTATGAGCTATGTTAGAAGCAGAAAACTTTTCACAATAGAGCTTCACAAGGCCTTCCCATTTGACTCTCAAATTATCTTGATTGATCCTCAACCAAAGTAGTTCACATACTCTAAGAGCAATTCCCCTGAATTCTGATTCTGCAGATGATCTTTCCACAATATTCTGCTTCTTGCTTCTCCATGTTACTAGTTTACCTCCTAGAAAAGTACAACACCTTTAACTGATCTTCTATCCACTAGGGGACCTGCATAGTCAGCAGTTGGCATAAGCTTCTAGAGTAAGAGTATCAATGTTTTTGAACAAAATTCCTTTCTATGGACTTCCTTTCAAGCAGTATAGAACCCTTTAAGCCGCTTGAAGATGAGGTTCTCTTGGGATCATAGGGTATGCTATGTCTAGCTGAGTGTAAAGGTATACGAGTCTACCAACTAGCCTGTGGTACATTCTTTTGTGAACAGCTAGTTCTTTAGGTATGTGAGTCTACCAACCAGCCTCTGGTACATTCTTTGTGAATAGCTAGTTCTTTAGCTTATAACTTATGGTTTGGATCCAATGGAGTAGAGATAAGTTTGCACCCAATCTTTCCTGTTTCTGCCAATAGATTAATTGCGTAGATGTGAATATTCCTTTACTGGAATATGCCATCTTAATACCAAGGAAGTGCTTTCTTAGTAACTTTGTTTCTAAAACTATTACTAATCTCAGCTTCAATTCATGCTTCTCTCTCATTATTTCGAGTGACTGAAAAGAGTGTGGTCACCTTGACTTTGTTTATACCCACATTTTTTTGTGACTTCTGTAAATCTTCCAAACCATGCTCTAGGGAATTATTTTAACCCATAAAGGGCTTTCCTAAAATTGCATACCTTATTGCCGGTGTTTCTCTCAAAGCCCAGTGGAATATTCATGTAGGTTTCCTTTTCTAAGTCACCGTGGAGGAATGCAATCTTAACATCATACTGTAGGAGTTATCAATTGCAGTGAGCAGCTAATGCCAACTGAATTCTCACAGTGTTCCTTTTTCCAACTGGAGCAAAAGCCTCCTGATAATCCACCCCATAAGTTTGTATACCTGCCACAATTCTTGCTTTATATCTCTCACGGGTAATTTAGAGGAAAGGTTTATTGTGGAGATGCCAGAGAGAGAGAGAGAGAGAGAGAGAGAATCAGTCATACCATTCTCTTAAAGGTGACTCAGATGAATTCTTTTAAAGATCTACGTGATTTCATAACCTTGAGCCCTCTGCTAAAGTCACAAAAACCAAAGAATGGCTAGTATTTCATACTTTTCCCTCTTTAGCTTGACCAAGGCATAAAATATTGATAGGAGTGAATTACTACCATTCATTAAGAAGGTTCAATACAGTCCAAGAGTTAAAACAACCTAAAGTCATAAAGCTAGTGAAGACGAATCTAACATCTCGAGTTTAATATGAGACAGTGGGAGTACTTGTTTTCTTGTACTCATCATTTTTATACATAAAAGATAATAGAATCTCTAGGATGTTCTAATCCAAAATGCCTTAGAGTCTGATTAGACTTTGAAGAAAATTCTAGAATTCTTTCTGTTCATCTGTGCTTCTTTTTCTCTTTATAAGCGACATCTCCTTATCTCATACTGTCAAGGGTTATGAAGTACGGAGTAATTTTTTGTTGTGTCATGAGTAAGTGGAGATAGCTTGAAATAATTATTGATAACAGTATTGACTGTGCAACTAAATTATGGAATATATAGGAAGATCAAATCTCAGCTACTTCACAGGCAAGTAAAATGGTCGAGTCCATGAAGTTCTTGGCTACTCAGGTACATTGCATTCCCTAAGAAGACCTATTTTTAAACACTTATAGGCGTACCCTTATGCTCATATTTGTGACAATATGGACACTTTTCAGGCTTGCATCTATGAAGGATTTGAACCAATCCAGTTCCTTGCTATATTCCAGAGCCTTATTGTTTTCAAGGTTTGAAAGGGTTTTATTAGTTTTGATCAGATAATCCTGCTTAAGTTAATTGCCACTTCTAGAAGTTTGGTAACTTTTTGCATGTGTCACCAGGGAGGTCTTAGTGAAGGATACAAGAAGTTTCTTGCCGGAAAAAAACTTCCCGATGATACATACAGTGAAGATGGTATTGCATTATTTCGAGTACAGGGTACTGGACCAGATAATATGCAAGCCATCCAAGTTGTTCCGGTATTTCTCTTTCCACAGTTTTCTTTATACCCATGGGGCAGTGCTCATAAGATTGATCATTGTCGTATATGCACACCTTGACTTGACAAACTTATCTTGTGCATGGAACACGCACAGAAAAAAACTATTAAACTGGTTATGAATTTATAGTTACAAGTTAGAAGCATAGTCCATGCTCTTTATTGCTCCATGAAGTTCACAAATATATGCATTGATGCTAATGCCTTTAAATTGATTTACTGTAGTCCCCAAAGCAATCATATAAAGCACATCCCAGATCTTGTGGAAAAATCGTATGATTCCAAAGACATACTGTTGTCTTGCAATCATATAAAGCATAGTCCATGGCCCATGCTCTTTATTATGCCACTAAGATATACTGTTGTCATGCAACCAAGACTGTAAACCCAAAGAATCTTCTGCCATGGTTTAGGTTCACCGTCAACTTCAGAATGACATAGACACAGTGTCTGGCTCCTTGTTTCCTAAGAACCTTAGACCTTTTGCAAAGTTGCACAGACCATTCTTCTCTGGCCAGTTTTTAGTTCCATTCAAATTCCTTAATACTTTCAACCATACCCTGGCTCTTATTGTATTAGCAAATCAATAGACCTTGATATTTTTTATAAAAGAATCAATACACTTGGAAAGTATAGCCAAAAAGTTTAGTACCACTGCACCAATTCCAATAGATATATTTTTCAGACCCAAGGGTTCTTGTCTTTAAGAGTATCACAGTTTCTTAAAACAGAAGTTAATCTTCTGCTAGCAGCCAGCTTGTGAATGTCTCTATCTGGCTGCTGCTCCTTATCAATTGCAAATGACGAACTGCACAGCTTACAGAACATAATGATATGGACAAGTAAAGAAATTTCATCTATTTTGAAACCTTTCCTCCCTGAAATGGAAACTTTCTCTTTTCCTTCTTTGATGGCTATAGGAACATACAAAACCCTAAACTTATTATCTATGATGAGATCCCTCCTAGAAGTGATTGATGGAACAGAAGTGTTCAAAACTCTGTATTTCATACTATTGAACAAGAGGATACATATATTTATACTAGGCTATGCACACTAACTATGGTAAGAATCAATAATATCCCTAAGATATTATACACAATATCCCTAAGATATTATACACACAATCACTGAGATCATATCAAATATACTTCTACCATATAATGTCTAACAAGAAGCAAATTCAAGAAAATGGATTATTCAGCTCCCTGATGAATGTTAATAGTTTCCAAGGCTTAACACAATATAGGACCAAGTCAAAACTCTCCTTGTAGTTGGATTTCCTTTGCACTCTTGCCCTAGTTTAATGCCTTCTTAAATATATTCTTAAAGGCACACAAAGAACTAATTAAAAACTAGATTAGCCTAACACATTATTGAACCAAGTCAGAGCTTGAGATTCATCCTCTCCTAAAAAGAAAGAAGGAATTCAAAAAGTAGATCATCTACTAATATTTGCTAATATTTTCCATTGGTCTAACACAATATAGAACTAAGTCAAAACCTGTGAAGTATAGATATGGACATGGGTGTCATGTTGGACTGAGACACACAAGAATATGTAACTGCCAAAGATAAAGGGACATGACACAGGGAGACTGCATTATTTATTTATTGTTGTTGTTGTTGTTATTATTATTATTATTATACACCACCACAAGAAATTTAACTAGAAGTGACAAGATAGTAAAGAGAATACTACATGAATATGGTCCATCAAAGACAAAGAAATGATCAGGTAGTAAGTAATTATCATGAGAAGTTGAGAATGGCCAGGTTTTCTGCAGGGATCATGCTGAATTTTCAGCAGCTGGACTGGCAGTGAATTCTCTATGCATCACTTTCTTTCATCTCTCCTTCCACCGATCCTCAAAAAATACTTCTTTGATGCTTGGCAAGGGCTTTAGTCCTAGAGTCCTTCCTCAAACCTTATCAAGATTCGTATTCAGTCCCATTAAGAACTTGAATATCCTTTTTTTCAACAATTTCTCTGAATTTTTTAACATCATCAGGACAATTCCAGTGATGTTCCTCAAACACATCCCAACTGTTGCCAATGACGCAAAGGGATGTTATAGTATTGCATGACAGCAAGATCTCCTTGCCATAGATCATGAAGATTAGTTTCAATCTTGAAAATCTATGAAGTATTTTCTTTGCTTGAGTAAAACTCTTCCTCTGCATCCCAAATCTCATGTGTAGTACTATAAAGCAAGAATTTTACTCCAATCTCATTTGTCATGGAATTGATCAGCCGTGACATGACTATGTTATACTCAATTTTCCAATTTCTAAATTTTGGATCTCTAGGCTTGGGAGGAACAATAGTATCAGTAAGATACTCATCCTTCCCCTTGCCACATGTGACATCATGACATTAAATTTTGGATCTCTAGGCTTGGGAGGAACAATAGTATCAGTAAGATACTCATCCTTCCCCTTGCCACATGTGACATCATGACAGACTGTGTTAAGAGCCCCACATTTTGATAAAATAAGAGAGAACATATGGGTTTATAAGGCCCTGGATTAGACTAGCTAATTGGTTAGATTCAATCTTTTAGTGTGGTTTGACCCATGTGCATTATAGTCCAGTTGAGTGACTCTAGCCCAATCTAAGATTATAACCGACTGTGACCACTGGAGATGGTTATTCCCATTCACCATATGTCTAGTGATAGGAAGAGAGAAATTATTGGAACTTCCTTGGAGATAGTTATTCCCCATTCAATATATGTCCAATAATGGGAAGAGAGAAGCTATCAGAATTTCCTTGGCTGGTTATGGATGGAATTTCAGGATCCGATTTAATATCGGATGAAGTTGAACTTTGTTTTTCTGCAGCCATACTGGGAAAATAAAATTCCATGTAAGAATATGAAAACAGAAAATAAAACTATTTGATTTCTTAAATAAATAAAACTCCTATATATATATATATATATATATATACATATATATATATATATATACATGAATATCCTTTGAGCTACAGTATGAATAAGTATGAACGCATCAAGTGGCGACTAGTATTTCTTCACATTTTCCTCAACATTAGTATTTCTCAAAAAGAAACATACCTAAATACTGGAAATAAGATTTCAGGTTTCCACATTAATGTAAAGTATGAGCTGAGCTCTAGAGGAGCCTTGAGAAAGTAATTTTTTCTTTTTCAATCATGACACAAATGATTAATGTCCCATGAAAGCACTAGGCTTCATGGTACACAAGCTTATCATTTTTCAATATATTTCCTTCTCTCACTGGCATCATTATGTGTGATATTGAAAGTTGTTATCTCTGCCATTTTTGATCTTTTATTTCAAAATATTATTATTTTTCCATGAAGATAAGTTCTAGCAAGTGATAGCGGTATAATTTATTGTTCTGCAATTTGTAGCTTGAGATAACGTATGGCATAGAAACATAATTTTCTATTAAAATCAGGTGGCATCATCCTTGAACTCGTCATATTGTTACATACTACACAGTGGCTCCTCTGTCTTCACGTGGTATGGAAATCTTACAACCTCTGATGACCAGGATCTTGCTGAGCGGCAATTGGATCTTATAAAGGTTGTTTTTGGCTTCTATCTTTTACCTCTTAAAAGCATCATTTCATCCAACCTGTACTTCAATTGTTCTTTTTCTTGAATTTTCCTTTTGCAGAATTTGTGAATTATGAATACTCAAAAATGAATTACTAATTTAACTAGTGATTCTCATTTTAATTAGCCTTCTGTATATTAGGTATTTGAATTGTTTGATCAAGTCTTGTCTAAATATTAGATAAGGCTGGCCTACACAATGCAATATGCCATTAGAACCTGAAGAGGACCTAGGTTTGAACCCTCACCACCTGTCCACAAAATTTGTGCACTTGCTTGATCAATGCAAAAATTATCCAACTGGATCAAGTAAACATATAAATTTTATCCACTCTAGTCTTAGTTTAAGATGATGTGAAACCACTCAAGCACATAATTCATTACCATAATGTCTTCGGTATCTTTCTCTGACTGACTGATTATGTACTGTTTGCAGCCTGAAATGCAGTCTAGACTGCACAAAGAAGGTGCAGAATCTGAACAATTCTGGGATATTTTGGGTGGTAAATCTGAATACTCTAGCCAGAAGATTGAAAGGGATAATGAAAGTGACCCTCATCTGTTCTCATGCACCTTCTCAAATGGTAAGAACATGATCAACCCCGTCCCACTCCACGGGAGCCTGGGAGCAAACAAAAATGACTAAATATAAATCTTTTGCACTGTATTACTTGCTATAGTTCCACTAACTGTGTTTTGTTCTCCTTTTTGGTGGGTGGGTGCTGAATGCTCTTCAGGAGATTTGAAGGTGCCTTATTTTATCATATTTTTGTTATTCCAGCTCTTATTTAGGACTTTAACTTTGCAATTTTACCTGGAGATTGAATATCTGTGTTTTCTTTTGACTTACACACACCTTTGGAATATAGTATCAGTTCATATTCATATTTCAAGACAACCTAAAACATGTTATGCTTTATCATTTAATACCTGTGATCTATAACATAAATATTGAGTGAAATTCTTTTACTTCAAAACAGTTATTTTAAATTAGAAATACAGTCAGCTTCGAATTTATTGTTTTTGATTTTCTTTTCAATGATACTTTGGAGATTTGGATTGCAGGTGGTAGAAATTTACAATTTCAATCAGGATGACCTCTTGACTGAAGATATATTCATCCTAGACTGTCTTTCAGATATTTATGTCTGGGTTGGGCAGCTTGTGGAAAACAAGAATAAAAAGCAGGCTTTAGTTATTGGTGAGGTATACATTTGACTGTCTTTTGACTTAAAATTTTGGTTTGGGACATAAGCTGCTATGAAGGAACTTATATATTGATATATCTTTCTGAGGCTTAGGTTCTTGTTAATTATCAAGAGAGAAGTGTTTGTATTACTCTGTAAAGCAGTGTGTATTTATTGATTGAAGAAGCTATACATGCTAGGCTATTTATACAGAGGAATAGAAACCACATATCCCAACCTCAAAACCCTAGCCTCGGAGTTAATCTCTCAACTTCCCACATATCTCTCTAACACTCCCCCTCAAGTTGGAGCATAGATATTAATCATGCCCAGTTTGTTACAAATATACTCAACTCTACTTCTACCTAGTCCCTTCGTAAACAAATCAGCCAGCTGATCAACACTTTGAACATGCACAGCTCATGAACGAATTGGCAATCCACCTCAATATGCTTGGTCCGACTCCACACGCTGGCGCATGCGGTGGTTTCCGGTATCCTCTACGGTCGCAGTTTTGTATTACTCTGTAAAGCAGTGTGTATTTACTGATTGAAGAAGCTATACACGCTAGGCTATTTTTGCAAAGTAATAGAAGATGACACCACATATCCCAACCTCAAAACCCTAGGCTAAGAGTTAATCTCTCAACTTCCCACATATCTCTCTAACAGTTCTCAATCTCAGTTTTGGCCTTTTGGGTTTTGAAATCTGTGCATTCAATTGGTGTACCATGAGCCAATTCACATAGCTATCTGAACCTTGATAAACATTATTTATTATTTTTTAGTCCAATGAACATTCACTTCAAAGGCAAGTAGGCAACAAATCACAAACAATGAACATTAATGAACATTTAATTAAAAATTTTATAGCAATTCCAGTTAGCCAGAGTTCATGATACAATCTTCCCTGGGCATTTATAACAACTCTCTCAACTTCCATGACTTCAAGATAGAGTTAATCCTAGCTTAGATGAGTCATTGTCTTATCTTGGTGAGATTTAGGAACCACTTGCCAAAATAGGCTTAAGAGCTCTTGGAACCAACAAAGGTTTTTTTTTTATTTGTTTTTTTTTTTTTTTTTATTTGCTGTAAATGCCAGTAATGTGATATGGACAACCAGGCTCACATCGCAGGCAAAGTTGTTTGAATGAGAATAAAGATAGAGAGAAAACACGGATTTTTGTTGAGAGCCCAAACTCCCTATTTTCTCTAAAATTTCTACTTGTCTATTATTGATTGAAGGCGTCCTTTATATAGGCTAATATAATGACCTCTTAATATGTCTGAGACTAAGCTAACTATCTATGAGTTCTAGTCTAACTAAACTATTCTATTATAACAAAAAATAGGATTATGTCAAAAATAGGATTCTGCCAATTTAGCTTCCCTTGTGCTTGTCTACCTCTGCGGCAGTATCCCTTACCCTAGCATGCATCATTACTCCCTTCCGGGACATCAAGCTTGAGGCCTGTCCTCCAGCTTGATGTTTGGGAATTTTTCTTGGTACGGTCTCATTGTTTCCCATGTGCGTCTTCCTTTGTTAGTCCATCCCGCTGCACTAGTATCTCTAGAACGCCCTGATTTATTCTGGTTTTAAGCATTGTAGCTGGTTGAATGAGTATTTGATAGTCCATTGTTAGTAGTAGAGGGTTTACCATAGTTGGAGAGGGGCTTTGTATTCTTTTAATAGGGAAATGTGGAAAACATCATGTACTTTGGAATCCGAAGGATGGCTACTTGATATACTACCTTTCCTATTTTTTTCAGCACCTTGAATGAACCATAAAATCAGGGAGACAACTTGTGGTGAGTTCTCCTAGAAACTGAGTGTTGCCCGTATAGTTCCAACCTCAACCAAACCCATTGCCCTTGCTCAAAACTTACGTCTTTATGAACACGATAAGTTTGCTCCATTTGTGATTGTGTTAGTTGAAGGTGATACTTTACATCGCGTAGTACCTCGTTTCTAGTTTTTAGAGCTTCATCCACGATGTTATGGAATATAGATATAGTATTTGGAATCTCTATAGATTAGGCAGTTTTAGGGATTTAGGTAGGTAAGACATGTGGAAACTTGTATCCTATTTGTAGTATTCTAGCACCTATTTATCGGGCTTTGTATTCTTTTTTTTTTATATGACAGTTTGAGACAATATACGATAGCACATTAGAAATCCTCTCTTTACTTTCGTAACATGGTATCTGAGCCTTTACAATAATTTTTTTTTTTTTTCGCTCCGCTGAAATCACCGCCCACCTAGGGAGGATCGCCGGTGACCGGCGATTGGATCTGGATGTTTTGACGCCGTTCTGGACAGCTCGTGAAGCTCACGTGCCGGCACGTGCGGTGTCTCCGGTGACCGGAAAATTTTCCGTCACCTATTCTTGGGTCGCTTGAGTCCCCTCTCCTCGATTCTGGACTTAGTTTGGACCATTGATTTTTGTTTTACGATCAGGTTGTTTCGTACCCCTTCAGGCTCCTTTTTTTTGTGTGGTTTTGTGATCAGTTTTGGTGGGTATGGCTGAGTATAAATGTGTTGCTGTTGTTGCCTCGGGATCTTCTGACGAAGAGGGTTATTGGTGAAGGGCTTGCGTCTGGGGGTCTCTATATTCTTGACCTCTAGAAGGATGGAGTCTCGTTTTGTGTTTTAGTGCTGTCACGTTTTGTGTTTTGGTGCTGTCTCGTTTTGTGTTTTGGTGCTGTCTCTCCTTCGTTTTCTCTCCTTTTTTATGCTCATTGTTTGGAGCGTGCTTCCTTTTTGTTAGTAAAGATGCTTCCTTGCAGTTGGTAAAGAATTTGTGTCTTTCGGTTTGGAGTTTGTCTTCTTTACCTTGTGTGTTCAAGCTTTTTCGGTCCACTTTGTGTTCACCTGGGGTTGCGGTATTGGTGGCGTTCAAAGCTTTCATTGTAGGGGGAGTGTCCAATCTCAAGCTGGTTCGGTCACTTTGTGTTCACTCGTTGTTCGTGGGATTGGTGGCGTTCAGCTTTCGTTTCAAGGGAATGTCCTGAATGGATTTCGTTATTTGTTATTTAGTTATTTTGGGTTATCACTTATTTGTGTAACAAGTTGGGCATGATTAAAATCTATGCTCCAACTTGAGGAGGAGTGTCATGGAATATAGATATAGTATTGGAATCTCTATAGATTAGGCCGTCTTAGGGATTTAGGTAGGTAAGGCATATGGAAACTTGTATCCTATTCGTAGTCTTTTAGCACCTATTTATAGGGCTTTGTATTCTCTTTTTTATATGCTCCAACTTGAGGAGGAGTGTCATGGAATATAGATATAGTATTTGGAATCTCTATAGATTAGGCAGTCTTAGGGATTTAGGTAGGTAAGGCATATGGAAACTTGTATCCTATTCGTAGTCTTTTAGCACCTATTTATAGGGCTTTGCATTCTCTTTTTTATATGACAGTTTGAGACAATATATGACAGCACATTAGAAATCCTCTCTTTACTTTCTTTACTTTCATAACACACGACATCCAATTTAGAGTGCCCTGGCTCATATGACAAGAACTTAAGATGTGGTCTTCCAAATACTACTTGGAAATGTGTGGTGTGTAGTGATGAATGAAAAGATGTTTATAGCAGTATTCTACCCAAGGCAAAAATCTTACCTACTTGTGAGGATGATCCTGGATTAAGCACCATTGGTACATCTTAATGGTTCGGTTTATCGGAGATCTGTTTGGTCTAATGATGCCATTTTGAAGCCTTTCATCACATTGCTGCTCGATTTCATCTTTTAGTCCTTGTGGGTACCGATAAGGTCATACTACCACAAGGTCAGCTCTTGATGATAATATAAAAATATTAGTGAACTCATCCAGGAGGCCATCTAAGAAGTTTTGGTTGGATTGCATTCAATGCTATGTTGTTGCTAGGTTTTTCTCCTAACCATGATACTTTTCTCCCATTGAGACAAAACTGCATGGTTTCCCACCAAATTTGTCCTACGGTGCTCTGCCAATTAACTCCTAGTACCAAATGAAATTCTGCCAATGGAAGTAAAAAGAAATTACCCAAGAAACAGTTTGAACCATGGTGCACCAAGACTTGTTCGCAGGACCCGAAGCTTGGTAGGTGTTCTTCATTCGCAACAACTACTTTCATACCCGGCCTTGGAATGATTGGTAAACCTAGTTTTTGTGTAGTTGAAGTGTTGTTAAAGTTTTGTGTGCTTCCATGATCAATCAACGAAACAAGATGTTCTCCTGCAATTGTTACACCAACTTTCATTATTTGTCCTGTTTTATCACCGATGATTGCATGTAGAGAGATTTCAACAAAAATTGTTTTTTCAATTCCTTGCTCAAAAGTGTCCTCTTCATCATCTATACCCAGGATACAAAATAGGTGTTTGCAACGCGGTGTCCTCAATACCAAGTCTCATCGCAATTAAAGCAAAGGCCTTTAGCTTTGCACTCTTCTTGGTTTGTAGGTGATAACCAATGAATAGGAGGAGCTTTCAAGTTATGTTTTTGTTCTGGCTGGGGTTTAGTATATCAATCTCAGATATATCCTATTGGAGGAAGAAGAAGGTGATAGGGCTGTTTAGAAGAACTTGTTGTCATCAATTGTATTTTACGATAAAAGTCTCTTTCCATATTTACGGCTTCAGCTAGCAATTCTGGTCTGGTGCGTTTTACATCAATACAAAGGAGCTCATCTAGTCCAGCCGTGAATAAATCCACTTGTTGATCAACTCAGACCGTATTAGCACGGGCGAGTAGGAGCTGAAAATCTGAGATGTATTTGTTGATGTGGCGGCCTCGTTGCTTCCAATTGACTAGTTTTCCTTGAGGATTTATGCTTTGTGGTGATCCAAAATGGAGCTTGCAAACTTCTTTAAAGACTCCATGACATTAGTGGTTTGTCTCAGAGGATTTGATAATACCATAGTTGTGCTTCTCCTGTCATATTGAATGCTCTGCCAAAGTCACCTTATCTTGATCCGGAGTGCGGGAGTTGCAAAAGTATAGTTCGCAACGACGAAGCCAAATTAATGGATTTTCCTGTCTTGAGAATTTTGGAAAATCCATTTTGGTGAAGCGAGATTTGAAAATGTTATCATCTTCATCTAGAGGGATGGCTTCTTCCTCTGTGTGTTAAATTGCTGAAGATGATGGTGCATCAACTACTAGATTTTTGCCACGGTCTTGGAGCAATAGTGTCATGCCTTGTTTCAGTTCTTGTACTGCTTCGATCAGTGCTTTGATATGGGAGTGGTCTGCAATATTATCGCCCATGATGCTGGCAAGGAAGCTGGCAAGGAACCAATTGATATGGACAACCAGGCTCACGTCACAGGCAAAGGTGTTTGGATGAGAATAAAGATGGAGAGGAAACACTGGGATTTTTGTTGAGATCCCAAACTCCCTGTTTTCTCTAAAATTTTTGCTTTTCTATTATTGATTGAAGATGTCCTTTATATAGGCTAATATAATGACTCCTAATCTAAGTGAGACTAAGGTAACTATCTATGAGTTCTAGTCGAACTAAACTATTCTATTATAACAAAAATAGGATTCTGTCAATTTAGCTTTCCTTGTGCTTGTCTACCTCTGTGGCAGTATCCCTTCCCCCAGCATGCATCATAATGCTTCTACAGTTGTTATCCATGTTTCAGTCTCAAATACTTTTTCTTGAGTTGAGCAATGTTGCACTTGTTAACCTTGCATGAAAGTGGTGCTGGTATAGTATTCATGTAGGTCCATTCAAACAATATAAGATATGTTGACTTCTCAGTGGCTCCACAGCAAAATTTCTTCAATGACAGATTTAAAATCCAAAAGCCACTAATTGCTTGAGGCAGTTGTACTTTTTTCAGAAGGCCAACTGAAGTCCTCAAAGCATGTTCATCCACAATGGTTTGATCATGTTATTATTACACTCCATGATGCATAATTTCATTTGAACTTGATGTTTAGTTTATAATTTCTGTTGGAAATTGAGATATTCAAGTCTGCTTTTTTCTCATTTACACTTTCTCTTGTATATATCTTTCCTCGCAGAAATTTCTCCAAAATGATTTCCTTCTGGAGAAATTATCTCAGCAGGCTCCAATATACATTGTTTTTGAAGGGAGTGAACCTACTTTCTTTACTCGCTTTTTCACCTGGGACTCTATGAAAGCTGCTGTAAGTGATCCTGTTGTTAAGGTTGAACTTAAGTATACTGATTTGCTAAGAGATATTTTGTATTACAGATGCATGGAGACTCGTTCCAAAGGAAACTTGCCATAGTGAAAAATGGTGGTACTCCAACAGTGGTTGTAAGTTCTTTTCTATCCTCTTATCTGTTTCCAACAAATTTATTTTTATTTAAGGATGCATAGATTAATTCATGCATCATGCTCTGATTCATATTCTGTCTTCTTCACTCTGATGATTTGCATGTTTTGACTTCTTTTTGGCAATGTCTGCCTATTTGTTTTGGCTAGCACATCTATTTTAGTTGCCATCCCATTGATGTTTACATTAATGCTTTTTTTCTTTTCTTTTAAAGATTAAGTTGGTTCAAACATGAATACAGCACCAACATCTAGTCATGAAGTGCAAGCTATGAGTGCCATTGCTTGAAATGTTAACTTTCCACTTGTCTGTTCAATATGAAAACAATGCTTTTATGCCCAATAGAAATGCCTCCGAATTACTAGACCTGACTGGAAATCTGATGTCATTTTCAAAATTTGGAGGATGCAAATTGTGGGTTTGTTATTACTTATTACTTATTATTATAATATAACAAGAAAATAAGAAGCAATAATTAATAAAAGAGAGGAGTGAGAGGATATGCCAATGTTGGATAATGTTGATCTCTATGAACTTCATTCATGTATGGATGCTCTAGTTTTCCTCTGTTTCCTTGCTACTTTCTTTGCAAATCTATTTTCTTCCATTCCTTTAAGAATTCATGGAGGGGATATGCTTTCCATAACACATTGTGTAGCTACTATGTTCAGAAATTACTAGTTGAAAGTCTGGACGTCACTCTTCTAGTCTTTTGTATCATGGAGTATGAGAGTGGGTGTAGTAGAGCCTGGGGTGGTGGGGGAGGGTAGAAGAGAAGAAATTCCCACTGCAATCCATCTAAATACATTATTGTTGAATGAGTTATGTAATCTGAACTCGAATTCAATTGGCCTTCTCTTTGTTAAAATAAGAAAGAATATATGGGTTTATAAGGTCATGGGTTACACTAGTTAATTGGTTGGATTCAATCTTTTAGTGTTGTTTGGCCCATGTGCATTATAGCCCAATTGAGTGACTCTAGCCCAATCTTAGTTTATAACAATTACATAATAAAAAAATTCCTCTGCAATCCACCCCAAAACCGTCTTATTCAGTGCAAGTATGCGATCAGAAATTGAAATCAATTGGCCTTTTCTTGTTACTTCCATTTACAATGACTACTGTCCTGAAAGACGAATAAATATGGGTTTCTGTGTTCTATTCAGGTTTATTGCCTACATATTGATTGCTGTATGGCAGAAACTTCTTCCTATTAGGATGCATTAAGGTATTGATTTCTTTGTTTTGTGTTATTAGAAACCAAAAAGGAGAACACCTTATGGTGGAAGGTCTAATACATCTGAAAAACCTCAACGTTCTAGAAGTTTGTCTTCCAGCCCTGATCGAGTTCGCCCTAGGGGCAGGTCTCCTGCCTTCAATGCCCTGGCTGCTAATTTTGAGAACCCAAATACAAGGAACCTTTCAACTCCTCCACCAATGGTGAGAAAGGTTTATCCAAAATCTGTAACTCCTGATTCAACAAAACTGGTTTCTAGATCAGCGGCTATTGAGGCATTGACAGCATCCTTTGACAAGCCATTGCCAGCCCGGAAAGTCATCATTCCATCCTTTACTAAAGGTATATTTTCTTGCTATAAGCTTTACTTTATTTTTTCCAAAAATGTGAAATATAATTCCTTGCAGGTCGAGCAAGCACCGATGCATCAAAACCAAGCCCAGAGGAAAATTCAAAACCAGAAACGATAAAGGAAGATGTAAAAGAGGGTGATGTTGAAGATGATGATGGACTTCCAACATACCCTTATGACCGACTCAAGACCACATCAACTGATCTTATTACGGTTGGAATTGATGTAACCAAGCGGGAGGTATGCTTTGAGGAAAATTTTGAAATGTGCTAATTGATGTTTCCAATGATACTGAACAATAACTTTCTGCAGGCTTATTTGTCTTCACAAGAGTTCACGGAGAAATTTGGGATGAATAAGGATGCCTTTTATAAGCTACCAAAGTGGAAACAGAACAAACTAAAAATGACCCTTCAATTGTTCTGAGTCTATGGCATCTAATCCTATTCTAGTCTCACTTAAAGTCAAGGAGAATGCTATGGAAAATCGTATGATCTTTATCTATCTTTTTGTTTATGCATTTGCCTTTTCTTTTTCTTCACAAGTGACTATCATACTCAGCAATTGGGGTTCAATTTCAGGAAAGGGGGCACCAACTCTGTAGCTACTCCAGCTCCAAAGAAGGGATTTTTTATTAGATGGTGGATGGATTAGAAAATTATCCATTAACTTCATTTTTGGTGATATATTCCTTTACAGGTTAGATGATTGGTACACTTTTTTATCGCAGGTTTGCTGTTAATTTGTAACTTTGGTGCTTCATTTTTTACCCTTCCCTCTTTTTTAAGGTATAGCTTTTCTAAGTGTAATCAGGGAGTCTGAAACAACGCAGACTCAGAAATTGTGATGCGAGTGAGTACTGTACAGATGTGAAAACTAGTCCGCTGGTTTCCTCTTGACCAATTAAAGCTAGAAATTTTCTTTTTTCTTGAAATTTCTGTAGTTGTTTTTAAAAATAAAAGCTGTAAATAATGTTGTTGGGAAATGCATTCACGTAAAAATTGCATGAAATATCGTACCACAAACGCAAGTGCAACTTACATTTCTGCTATACAAATACATGATATAAACGACCGTATTTACTATATCAAACCTTATAATTAGTCTTCTCTATTAAAGTAAGTTGATTACCTCAATCAAAACTTAAGTACTCTTTGACGAATACTTTATTTACTTACAAACAAATCTCTGGAAATTTTCATGTTTAATACATGAAATTTTATCTTTTTATCATTATTTTTTATACCATAAATAGAGAGATTTATATGAAAAAAATATAAGAAGCTAAATTGAACGGAAACTTAGGGAGGTCAGAATTAAGGGGTAGCGAGGACGTTGCAGTGGCACTACCTTTACCCAAAACAGTGGTTATAGACACATCTATTAGGGTAACGGTAGGACCAGAATTGACGGGCAAATACGTAGAAAAAATAGTGATTACCTGTCATATGCTTAGAAGCTCCTGAGTCAATGACCCACTGTCGAGACGCAGAAGAAACACACGCAACTGAATTACCTGTTTGGACAAACGCTGCGGAGGAAGGCACTTGACTGGATGGAAACTGCGAGGAAAAAGAAAGTTTCATCTGGTTGAATCTAGCAAACTCCTCATCTGTCATCACTACTGTGTGACCTTCTGACGTGGAAGTCGTATTAGCAGCCATTTGTTGTCTTGGCGGCTTAGGACACTGATTTCGAAAGTGTCTGAATCCCCACAATTGAAACAAACTCGTGGGCCTCCACGTCCTCTACGACCTCTCCAAGGACCCCCGCGTCCTCTGGAGCGGTTATTACCCCCTCCTCGAGAATCATAATTTTCACCGGTACTCCTCCATTGGGTTACCAGGGCACTTGTGTGACAACCCAAAATTTAAGTTTATAAATTCGGTTTTAAGAAATTTCAAAATAGACATTTTCACTCCATTAAAATTTTTTGAGATAAATTGGTGTTTGAATAAATTATTTTGAGTTACATTTTAAATTAATTCAACACCGAAACTTATTTTAATTCCAAAATTCTAAATTTTCGGGTACTTCGCGTACCAAGTTTTAAACTGAGAAACCAATCTGAGTGAGACCGGGAGAAACCTGAATCAAGTGTTTGTTTAGAAATCATCTTTGGAAAAATCTATTTTGACCCCCAAACTATTTAAATCTATCCTTCTAGACTTGGGTCTATGATGCAAGGTGAACCGTGAGAACTCTTTAAACTTTTGTCTGATCTTTGCTAGAAACAAGCCAATTTACTCCTTTGCCCTCAACCAATCATTGGTGTTTCTACTAGGGTTTAGAGCCCTATGAAATGAAATGTTTTCAGCCATTGCCTCTTGACTCCCAACCTTGTCTTCCCTACTGTTATAGAATATTCTGTGTGATTGAGTATCCCATATTTTAGGAAACTAAATATTGGCATACCATATCAGTTTAGAACCAACTTGTATTTAAGGTGTTGTTGACTAACCCTAAAGACACACAGAAAGAGAGAGAGCTACACAGAGGTATGCTTCTCACTGTTTTAACATGGTAACAGAGCCAGGGCAATAGTTTTTTTTTTTTTTTTTTTTTTTTTTTTTTTTCCGGCGTCTCCTGTCGTCACCGCCGGTCCACCGCCACTCGCCGTCGTCCGGCGACCTTGCCTGGAAAATTTCAGGCCGATCCGACCTGCACGTGAGCTTCATGCGCCACCGCCATCCGCTGCCACCGCCGCCACGCGCCGGCGCGTGAGGAGTCTCCGACGATCGGAAATTTTCCCGGTCAGTCTTCCCAGGGTTGCCTGAGTTCGGGGGTCTGGGTTCCGGGCTCAGTTTGAACCAGTTTCGCATCGGTATTTTCGGTTCTAAGGTCAGGTTGTTTCGTAACCCTTCGGTTTCGTTTTTTGTGTGATTTCTGATCTGTTTGCGGTCATATATTTGTGGGTATGGCTGCGGATACGTCTATGGTTGTCACTGATATAGTTCTTGTTAATTCTAAAATCACGGATTGTAAGCTTAATGACTCTAATTACTTGGAATGGATTCATGTCATTAAACTTTATCTTACTAGTTTGGATAAGAGTGACCACCTATCCAAACCTTTGGCTGACCAAGATGCTACTTGGGTACGGGATGATGCCCGTTTGTTCCTGCAAATCCGTAATTCCATTGACGAGGGTATTGTTGGGTTCATTAGTCATTGTGCCTCTGTTAAGGAGTTGTTGGAGTATTTGGAATACTTATACGTTGGGAAGGAGAATATCACTCGTGTTTATGATGTTTGTAAGTCCTTTTTCCGTGCTGAAAAATATGATTTGTCTCTCCCTACATACTTTATGGAATTTAAGAATACTTATGAGGCACTTAATCAGCTTATGCCATTCACTACTGACATTAAAGAGTAGTAAAACCAACGTGAACAATTGGCTGTTCTGAGTTTTTTGGCAGGTCTCCCTTCTGAGTTTGACACGGCGAGGTCTGCAATTCTTAGTAGCTCTGCAATCCCTTCTCTTGCTAATGTTTTCCCACGTCTGAGTCGATCGGTGCAATCGCAACTAAGTATGCCTGAGGCTACCATCCCATCAAACAATGCTCTCGTTGGCCGTCATCCTCGCAGTGGGAATGGGAAAAATTCCCAGGGGGATACACTTCTGGTGGTATTGTGTGTCATTATTGCCATAAGCCTGACCACATAAAAGGGGATTGTAGGAGATGGTTGAGGGAGCGAGGAAATCCGACTGCTAATGCTGCATCCACAACTGAGGCGTCTTCCAAGATGATCACTGTATCTGCTGACGAGTTTGCCAAGTTCTCTTAGTATCAAGAATCTTTAAAGCGTTCATCCTCTTCCGTCACTGCTATTGCTAACTCAGGTAATGCAACTACGTGCCTTCTTTCATCCTCCTCCAAGTGGGTTATAGACTCGGGTGCCATGGATCATATGACAGGTAACTCTAGTCTGTTTTCCACGCTTTCTTCTCTCCCACATAGTTCCCCCATCACCTTAGCAGATGGTTCTACCTCCCATGTTCTTGGGTCCGGTACCATTACGCTCATCCCTTCGCTCCCCTTGTCTTCTGTCTTGCATCTACATAACTTTTCGTTCAACTTAATTTCGGTCAGCAAACTTACCCGTACTTTAAACTGTTCTGTTACGTTCTTCCCTGATTATTGTCTGTTTCAGGATCTTTTGATGAAGAAGGTTATTGGTAAGGGGCGCGAGTCTGGGAGCCTCTACGTTCTTGACACCACGAGGCGGGAGCCTATTGCTTGTTCGGGTGTTGTCACTCCAGTAGAAGCTCATTGTCGTTTGGGGCATCCTTCCCTACCCTTGTTGAAGAAATTGTGTCTGCAGTTTTCAAGTTTGTCTTCTTTACATTGTGAGTCGTGTCAATTGTCCAAGCACCATCGTGTGCCTTTGAGTCCTAGAGTTTACAAACGAGCGTCTGCTCCTTTTGAGTTAGTGCATTATGATATTTGGGGTCCGTGTTCTGTGACCTCTAAACTCGGTTTTAAGTATTTTGTTACGTTTGTTGATGATTTTTCTCGAATGACATGGTTATATCTAATGAAGTCTCGTTTTGAACTTTTTGAGGTGTTTTGTGGATTCTGCGTTGAAATTGAGACTCAATTTGGTATTCCTGTCAAAATTTTACGTAGTGACAATGCTAAAGAATATTTTTCGTTCCCTTTTGTCTCTTATATGTGTAAGAAGGGTATGTTACATCAGTCCTCTTGTGTTGATACACCTTCTTAGAATGGGGTCGCTGAGCGCAAAAATTGGCATCTGCTTGAAACTGCAAGAGCCTTAATGTTTCAAAAGGGGGTTCCCAAGCAGTTTTGGGCTGATGCCGTTTCCACAGCCTATTTCTTGATCAATCGGATGCCCTCTGCGGTCTTGGGTGGGAAAACACCTTTCCACACTCTGTTTCCTTCAAAGCCTTTGTTCCATGTTGACCCGCGTATATTTGGCTGTGTATGCTTTATTCGGGATGTCCGCTCCCATGTCACCAAGTTAGATCCAAAGTCTTTGAAGTGTGTGTTTCTTGGATATTTCCGTGTGCAAAAAGGGTATAGGTGTTACTCTCCTAAGCTTGGAAGGTATCTTGTTTCCATTAATGTTGTCTTTCATGAGGACATCCATTTCTTTCCTTCACCCCCAGAGGCTATTCGTAAGGGGGATGAGGAAGATATATTGATGTATACGGTCACGTCGTCTGTTCCTTCCCTGTTCCTACCCCTCTTGTCTTACATGTGTATTCTCGTCGACCTTGGCCTGACACACTCGTACCGGCACCGCCTCCCGCTCCCCTTCCAGATTCGGTACCAACTCCATGCCCTGACACCACCTCTGTGTCATTTGATCCAGTCTTAGTTGATGAACGTCCGATTGCTACCCGGAAAGGTAAACGTAGTTGTACTTATCCTATATCCTCTGTTGCATCATATGATAGGCTGTCACCTACCTCGTGTTCTTTCATTGCTTCCCTTGATTCTATTTCCATTCCTAAGACTGTTAGGGACGCCTTGTCCCATCCTGGGTGATGAAATGCCATGATTGAGGAAATGAACGCTTTGGAACACAACGGTACTTGGGAGTTGGTCACTATGCCTATGCCTGCAGGTAAAAGACCTATTGGTTGTAAATGGGTTTTACCGTCAAGTTACTTCTGATTGGTCTGTGGCTCGATTGAAAGCTCGTCTTGTGGCTAAGGGATATGACAAGAAGCCCTGCAAGAAGCCAAAGAAAAACACAGTAAGTTTTAGCCTATCTTAACCATTCATCCACTCTTCTCCTAGCTTCTTTGATTTCTAGCCTCCATCTCTGAGAACATAGCTCTTAAGGCTTGTTGTATGGTTTGTTTGGGATGTTTAGGTGGTGAAGGGGGTTGTAGCTGACTTGGGAAGAAGGAGGAATGCCAACAAGAAGAGTAAATAACAATGGTATAACCCCATGGACTCC